AACGTGTTTCACGCGAGACAAATTTCAAGTAACAGTTATTAATACGGTCCACACAGATACGCGCGGTGACAGTTTGACGAAACGAGGCGCGACGAGTTTCTCGCAGTAAGGCAGGCAAGTGCCACGTGGCTGGCATGACGAGCAGATGACGATGAACGCGGATGACACACGCGGCGTTTACGGTGAGATTACGGTGAGAAAGAGTGAATGATATTTACCTCGGCGACGCATATATTGGCTTTTAGCGAGCCTAGCAGCGACTACATCTATAAATCTAATTGGCTACTGTGCAGGCGGTGGACTCCCGTAATACCCAGGATCGTGGAACGTTGGGCGCCGATTGTCGCCGTTTCCGGTGCAAGCTTCTCGTGTAAAGGTAATTTACTATCCCTACGAAGCTGCAGCACGGGTTCAGCTCCATCCCTATTATTTACTCGCGATCGCGATCCCGGATGCCCGACTCACTATCCGACGAGGACGACGAGGAAGTGGCGCCCGAATAATCTCGTAAATTCCGCTATTCACGTCGATATCCCATCGACCGATCCAACGGCGGCGACTCTCTCGGACCGGACGGAGATCTCCCGTGAACGCAGAGTCCGCTTGCAGATCAGCAATAGTAAGGATTAATCGACGGGTGGTCTAGAGACGGAAAGGGATCTCGACTAACTCGCTACTCGAGGCAAGTCGAATCTCACTTCAACTCGAAAGTACTCTACAATTCTACAGACTAATATGAGAAGACAGAGAACGATACGACATGGAGGGTCAAGACGTAAAGCTCCACTGGCCGAGATGAGGACCAGGGCCGAGACGGACTCAGGAAGCCTCGAAGCCGCTTGACAAGTCACCGACGAGTGCACCGCAACGAGGATGTAACGCGAAGAGGGACGATCGCGCGTCACGTCGGCCTTCCAGGCGGGGCGTTATTTCCCCGCACTCGTTATCCAGACCGGCTCGCGCGTGCACAGGCGTCACTGAATCGCTTCGATTGCGGGGATCGATGATGCTTCCGCGAACTCGCGAGTCTCGCGCGACATGCCCGTCCCCGCGGAATGCGAGACCGCGTGTGTAACGCGCCGATCTCTCGCACGACCGCCTCGTGTGCAGCCGCGGATGCGAAACGAGGCTGGGACGAGCCGCGATCCTCCGGGGCGAGTCGAGAGGGTGAAATCGACGGAGAGAGGCAGCGAGAGAGAAAGAGAGAGAATGAGAGACCCTCGCGAGAGGGGTGCGCGTCCGCGATGACGATGACGGCGGCGACGAGCTCCACCAAGAACGGACGCGTCCCTTCGATTGCCGGTCAGAAACTGAATGTGGCGCGGTTCGTGCTGACGCTCGAAATGTAGCCGAGAGGGTTGTCGGGGAGCCACCCCTTGCTCTCCAAGGGGATGCAGGACTCAAAGCGGGGGGTCGGGGTGGGCGAGAGGGGAGAGCGACGACTCTGGGATCCACATCGGGCATGTTCGGGGCTTCTGCGCACTAGTGCCCCAGTAACACACCCCCGTACACCCGGCAGGGGAAGGCTCGAGCGTCTCGCGAGCGCGAACAAATCGCGTTACGTGGCGTTTGTCCCGATTCCCCGCGACTCCCTCGAGTCGGTTCTTCGCGGACTCGAAAGCCTAACTGAAATAACGACGTCACGAAAAGCGGCAAACAGTGGAGGTTATTGAGGCTGCTACAGAGACTCGATATTTTCTTCTTGTATATTTGTATGCTAATTTACGGACACGAGGATGTAGGGTAATATTGCAGCATCAGCGAACGCTGCGAATGTTTTGCGAACTCGTGCCTATCGATCGTGAGGAGGGATCCTGGGTGTTTTCTCGCAACCTGCCCGATTTTTCCGGCTTACCTCGACTCACCAGTTCCGCGAGTGTTTGCGCGACGCGTGCTTGCCTCGATCGCTGAAACTGACCCCGAGATTTATGCGTTCGACGCCGGCACGGGGGTTTTGCGCGCGGATCGGAGCCAGCGCTAACTGGAAACTAGCGTTATTGTCGAGCCACAAGGAACGGTCCGCCGGGGTTTCAAATAAACGTGCACTCGTGTGTCTGGCCGAGTCGTTTTAACGTCTGGACGTTTGTGACCGAGCGGTGACAGATGCGGAAATCATCGATTCCTCTGCCACATCGGGAAAGGATTAAAATAAGGGAGAATTCACACATTGGCGGCAAAGCAGAAGGACAGAAGCCAATCAAAACTCGCGCTGGTTAGTTAGACCCGCGCTGGTGGTCAGGTGATAGTCGATAGCTTTCCTACCAGCGTTCCTACCAGCGCGAGTTTTGACTGGCTTCTGCCTTTCTATTGTCCACCTTTTCGCGCACGATGTGAATTCCCCCTAAGACGCGTCGTGCGCGCTTTTGCTGCGTCAGCGTCGTGTGAGATAAAACAAGAGAAGATCAAAACATACACACACACACACATATATGTGTATGCATGTACGAAAATTTGTATCTGCAACTAAAGCCCATTGTCTACGGAGTGTGATTTGAAGTTGTTTTTCTTGCGAAGAGCCATACGTGCCGCTAAATTCGTTCTGTAGCGAGAAATTTGACTTTCGGTGTGCTCCATTGCGAGCTCGATTAGGGCCTTTGCACGTAGAAAAATTTTAACTGCAACCGTAAGGTCGTAAGAAAACTGACCAATCATAGTCGATTATTTCTCGAACGCAAGGAGAATAATCAACTGTGATTGGTCAGTTTTCTTACGACCTTACGGTTACAGTTAAAATTTTTCTACGTGCAAGAGCCTTTAGTTTTTCCAGACAGATTCGGTGTTATTTTCCAAGCGTATTATTAGGATCCCAATACGGTTTGTCTAACCAGATGCACCGAATCTCAACTGACGTCAGTCATATAATTACACTATATTTGACAGTTCGTATTGGAATCCTAACGATACGTCCGGAAAATAATACCAAATCTGTCTGGAAAAACTAACCGTCAAGTTCGCAACGAAGCACGCCGAGAGTCAAGTTTCTCGCTACAGAAAGAACTTAGCGGCATGCATCGCTTCCCGCAAAAAAACAACAACTTCAAATCACGCTCCGTGAACATTGTTAATTTCTGCCCGGTTCAGAAGGAAGAGTTTATTTCGGATATTGGAAAACGGAAATGGAAAGATTATCTCTCACGACAATTCGCTGTAAAAATAAAAAGGGGGAGGAGGAAGTCGATCTAACGAGACATTCGGACGAAATGAATATTTCGTGAAAAGATCGACTTTTTCCCGGTCTAACTTCACGTGTGCCCAACGCGTCGGTCGTGTATCGCGAAATTTTATCGTACCTGTTAGATCTGGCACACTTTTGGCACGTCGACGCCGACAAACCCCGACAGTCAGTTATGCAACTACATGGGAAAATGTTTAATAATACTTGAGTGTGTAAACTAGAAATTGCACAGTCGAAAGCTGCACCGTCAATATCGCGCCTTATCGGCGAAACGTCAAGCTCAGGATCTATATCGCTCGCTGGTATCGCATGATTATGCGAGCCCTTTGCCTCTTTCCTTCCTCGTCCGAATAATTACTGTGGAGATTCGACGGAGCACAATACGCGTTATTTCTGACGCGGGTCACGTCACATTTCGCACGGCCGGATCACGTGTGAATTGTTAAGGGCAGTTCCTTCAGGGAAACGTCATGGAACAGCGAGACGAAGAGAGACGAAGAGAGACGTTCGGCTACCCATGCAAGTACGTACTCCGCGAGTGACGCACTATTCGCGAGCTGTACCGACGACAAGCGCATTTTCGCGATTCCGCCGGAAAATTCGCGTCCGTCGCTCATCGATCGGTGAAGCGCGACGCGCGTCTCGCGACCGATCTGTCTTAATTGTCCCCGCGATCTCTCCGCGCGATTCACGACTCCACCCGTGTTCGCGCGACACTCGCACGTCTTTGCGGACAAACTTGTGGAAAATACAAGCGACGGATGGTTTCCCTGTCGTGAAATAGGGCGTCGCGATTCCCAGAGAGAGACCAACCCCTTCTGCTCTCCGCCGCCGCTTAAAACAATTTGACTCGGCGGCGGTGGACGGCCGAGTTTTTCGCGCAGAATGAGGCAGAATGCACGACGGGCTTGATTGTCACCGTTACTACTACTACTACTACAGTAACAGCAGCCGCCCCCTCGATACCAGGACAATTTCGGTACTCCGGAAAGCCGACCCTCGTATTATACTATCTGATTTCGAGATCGCCAAGGGGTCGCTGTTACTACGAGTCGCTCTTAATAATTGACCACGCTATCTTGATTGTTCCGCACGGCGATCAATTTCGCGTAGCCGACGCGGAATCTTGTTTGCCCGGCTGTCCGTTAAATTTCAGACCGACGCGAGATCACGACGCAGGGACTTCTAATTTCGCGGGGCCGCGATGGACTCGATAATATTGATAGCCGCGGAGAGAGGAGCGGAGAGGGAAGGGGGCAAGAAAGATTACAGAATCGAGCGGAATTGCCGAAAATCGCCTTGTCGATAAATCGCCCCGGCAACGTTTTCCTTGCTTTCTCTTCTTTTCTCCCTCCTCCTCTCCCTCTACTCCGCCCCACAGCTGTACACTCCACGTTTCGCGCGATTAACAATGCTGATTTACGAGTCGCGGGAATACCCACCGCGATATCGCGACAGATATTTCAGCGAAGCCGGCAATGGCCGAGCTGGCGACGACGCGCCGCGGTATGTTATACAATTAAACTTAATTAATTAATTTAATTAAACGCGCGTTCGCACGCCAGCGCTACCGCGTCCGCGAAAACCTGAACCCCCAGGAGAGATTTTCAGAGCGTTGCTCCGCAACGTTTCGCCCCGGCCGACGTTTCACTCCTCGTGGCTGTGCGAACGCGACACAGCGCTGAACATTCGCGCGCTAAGAGCTCGCGCAGCGAGGACACTGTTATCCTACACCTTACAAGCATTCTCTACCAAAACTAGCAACACCGAGAAAAGCGGCGAGATATCTCGTTTTCCACACAATTCTCTACGTTTCTGTACTCACCGCGTCGCTGCTGCTGGCGTCATCGTGGTGTCACCCGATCGTACTCGCAGAGTCGTCTCTCGCCCCGACATTTGTGGCGCTCGTGGACGTGCAGCGCGAGTTTCAAGCGAGACGGCACCGAGAGAGGAGAAGGAAAGAGGAGGAGAGAGGAGAGAGAGAGAGAGAGAGAGAGAGAGAAAGAGAGAGAGGCAGGCTTCTACGTCTACGAAGAGATTACGAAGCCGCCGCGATCTTCTCGATCTTCTCTAAGCTACCCAGGATCTTCGGCCGGGACGTGTCTTTAGGGCTCGGAAAGCGAGTAAGAGAGCAGAGAGTAGACAGAGAAAGATAGATAGAGAGAGAGAGAGAGAGAGAGAAAGAGAGAGAGAACGACACCCGGCCGAATCGCGCGATAGCGTGGAATGAATCGGGAGAGCGCGAAAGGCACAAGAGAAGGACGGAGACGGGATTCCCGACGTCGGGTCTCGGATGTGGGAACAGGGAAACAGCTTAAACACGGGAGGCAAGACCCGAGGACGATCCGCGGATCTCGATAAGGCAACCGCGTGGTTAAGATTGACAATCGGCTTAGGAAAAATAAGCTCGTTGGTTACACGAATTCTTCCGCGCGCGCCGACGGTTGTTTGTCGTCATCACACGTGGTGGAGACTCGAGCGGTCGGGCGAAAGCAAGGCGAGGTCGCCACGGGGTGACGTCGAAAAGTTAAGTCAAAAACGGCTTCCCCGATGACCGGAGACGGTTATTGTCGCGACGTGGACGGCACGATTTAAGGCACGAGGTACTTCCGGGCTTCGCGACAGCCGTGCGCGCTACATCAGGACGCGCGCTGGACGCCTGCCGACGGTGACGAGCAGCGCGAGAGACGAACGACGAAAGGACGGCCACTCCTCGGCCGCGCGCGAACGGCGAGAGGGCGATTGGCGAACGACGATGAGCATCGAGAACGGACGCGGGAAGGAAGGAAGCAGAGAAACCAATTGCGAACGCTGCTGCAGGCACGTGCCTTTTCCAGCCGGGAAGCTCGCTCCGCTGCGTGAAAAGCGGAGGGGTAGTTCGCGGAGGTGACGTCGCGTGCTGAAAAATCGCGATATCGCGCACGGGAAACTCGAGGGAACACGCTGATCGAACGGAAACGATAACGGAAACGTAAAGTTCGCTCTTTACCTGGGAGACCAACCGAAGGTGGGGACGGACGTTCTAAAACGAACTATTGTCCTCTGCACGTGTTCGATGGTGAAAACGATCGCGCGATCTCCTGCACTGCGACGTCGAAGCGCTGGGTGCTAGATGATGGGCGAGTGGACTCTATCTTCACGCAACAGAACGGCCCGTGAAAAGAAAGTGACAGGTGCCAAGTGAAGCAGGGCAGGAGGAAAGGAGAAAAGATGCGGAGAAAACGCGTCGGGGAAACTGCGAACTGCGGGCGATTCTTGAGAGAGGAAGCGCGGTTGAGGAAGCTCGTGGACGCTAAGCGGACGCGAAAGGAAGAGGACGAGCCTGATATTGAGGAAGTTCTGGATTCTGGCGACGGCGGAGACGGTGGCGGTGGCGGTTATGCGGAAAGGGTCGAAGGGACGGAGCGAGGGTAGAGAGCGAGGGCGAGGATGTTACCCCGACGGCTGTCGCCAAAGAAGTGATAGGTCTGCGGCCTTGCGCGCGGTACCCGAACCGCCGCGGGTGCAGAGAGGGCGCCGAAGGGAACCGACGCGACGTCGCCGAGGGCGCAGACGCCGGGGTGTATCGGCGAACGAGGAGGGCGACGATTGGCGGCGAAGGCACGATGCAGCCCCGCTTCCTCGCGCTCCGCCAATTCGCGGGGGTGAAATCCGTCCACCGGCGGCCCCTACCTACCCTGCGCCCCCGCGCGCGCGGCCAGGCACGCGCGCGGAGGGGGCGCGCGGTGTGTCGCGACCCCTTCTGAAATTCGAGTGTCGTATTGCGCTACACAGAGACGCGCTCCGCCACCGCCGCTTAGCTCCGCTGCTGGCCCTTTCTCGTCCTGGCCCTTCCGAGGCGAAGGGGCGAGCGTGTTTGCGCCGGACGACTTTGCGCCGCGAGAAGATTTAGCGGATCTATACCAGCGTGTGAGGGTATGTGTGTATGTGTGTGTGCACGCGCGCGTACACACACACACACGCGGCATTAAATCGCAGTAATCGCGGCGACAGCGCGCGAATTTATACGACGATCGCCGAGAGGATGCAGTTGTAAATCGGTCTAATGATGTCGCCAGCCCGAAGACCCCTCGCTCATCGGTCAGCCGACCGGAGGGCGGGAGAGGAAGAGGGGAAGGAAGAGAGAGAGAGAGAGGGAAAGAGAGAGAGTCCTTCAGCGTCGTCTCGCCTTGGGTACCTCGAGCATCGCGGCCCCGACGACCCTCATTATTAACGAACGGCACATGTGAGATGATCACTCAAGCAGAGACTGGCGCTCTCTGAAGGCACAGTTAACGAGCGTACGCGGGAGTACGCTATTGAATATTTATCGCGATAAGCGATAAGCAATCTTCGATCGCGACGGTCGCAAGGTCGAGGCCGAGCATTTTTCTTGAACCCCAGTGGTCTTTGGCTACCGGGGCTGCTGCGAAAGGTTCGACGCAGGCCCACCCTCGTCGCTCGAGGTGTGCCGGGAGAGAAGGGCGGGGAGGAAGGGAGGGGGGCATCGACGGCGCGAAGGGATGATAATGCGTGTCTGCAAGCGGGAGGTCTCCTGCAAGAGGATGGGGAGTGTCACTCAGGAGCACGACGTGTAAGAGAATGGTCACCGTCCTGGGGGGTGAATTGAGATGTACAGGCAATTTATGCAGCCGGCGCTCTCTCTCTCTCTCTCTCTCTCTCCTCGCCTCTGGAAAAGCGTTGACCATAAACGCTCGCGAAACATCGCCGTGCTTTTTCGCCCGACCTGCTCTCTTCTCCCCTCCCCCCCTCCTTCGTCTTTCGTCGTCCCCGCGCTCTCGGAAAATCGAACACTGGGTAGCCGAATTTTTCCGAACAGCTGATGCCGATATCCTCTCGCCGGAGCCGTTCACGCCGTCGGATTTACGGCGCTCCGGGAGAAGTGGTCTCGAGTAAACGCGCGGATCGACGCGAAATAAAATGGCGTAAACAAATTCCGTCTTAAGGAAAGTTGAAGGAAAAAGGGAGAAAAATAGGGAGAGGGATTGTTTATTGAGTATACTTGATTATTTTTGACTTGCACGTATCGGTCTTCTCGACCGACGAGACACGAAGTCGATGCTTCCCCGAAAAACTACACGGAAAACGAAATTTGCTCGTACTAACGTGAAGTTTGGTTTTAATGAACGAGCCAACGCGTTCTGGTTGAATGACACAAAACTTTCGGTTCTCACGAGCCAGATCTGGTTTCAAGAACCAAAACATGTGTCTCCTTCTGCCAAAACGCGTTGGTATCGCCACGTACCACGTCGGTTAGTTACCCCGATTCAAATTTCAGCCGCGACAAACTTTAGTCTCTAATTTTCTTGGAATAAAATTTCACTCCAAATAGTGGAATGACCGAGTCGAATTTGAGTGATTTCTCACTCGTACAGAATGAATATTCTACTCTGAACCGTCGAGTGAACACTTTCACTCAAAACTGAGGACTGAGTCTAATGTACTCCATCGTTACGGCATATTTCGTATACTCGAATCGACCGAAATATTCACTCATATGAATCCGTTATAAGCTGCAGTGAAACATTGGCTCTTGCGATGTCGAGTTTGAGTAAAATTCTACTCCGAGAAATTTACAGAATACTTTCAAAGTAATACTCATAATACTTCGGTCGATTATTTAGCTTTCTTGACTCACGTGATTTTTTCTAACACACGAAGACTCCTGTGTCACTCATGTATCACCGTCAGACAACTGCTTTCATTGTCTTTCATTGCACCAATATTTTTGTGCTTGCGCGCGCATTGATGCACCGACCGCGATTGATGCGTTCCGAAAGCAACTTGCATTTGCAAGGAAAACTGCGGCAGGACGTCCATCTGTATCACGTGCACTGTGACGGAGGAAATGACAGAAAGCAAACTTCGGCAACGAGGGGGATGGAAAACAGTGGATGGCTTTCGTCCGGGATGAATTAAGGATTTATCCCTAAGTGTACCTCTGCCTTTATTTTTGTTCGCCATCTCGCGCTCGGGCGATTCGGCTGTTCCACCCTCTTCCTCTCTCCCTCTCTCTTCGTGCGCCATCAACCCTTATCGTGGTAGCGTCAATCACTCTCTCTCTCCATACACGGTGAAACTTATCGTTCGATTAATCGGCCTGACAATGCGCCTGTCGATTCGAGTTACCCCCCGGACTGGCGCGTGCGGTCAGTCCCCGAAAATGCAGCGCTCGTCCGACGATTTACGGCCGGAAAAGTTTTATGGCTGCCAATTATAGGGAGGATCCTCTCGCGAAATTGTTAGCGAGTGAAAACGTAAACTATTAGAGCGTGTGCGCGCGGCGTGTGTGAGGTGTTTCCTCCGCGTTTCCACGCGGATGAGTCTCGAAAGCGCCGCCGAGAGCGAAGTGCGCTCGCTAATGCGTTTGATAGAGGGGGAAAAAGAGATCTGGATAAAAAGGTAAACAAAAGACACACTCTCTCAATGCGTGTTAAAGAGGTGGATGCGTTTGGCGTGAACGCGTGAGAAGTACGTGGAGCAAATTTCGGGAAAAAAGCCGCTTAACGCGGTTAACTTGAATTGCTATAAAGTACCAATTCCCGGACACCTATTTAACTCTGGACATTCTTATTGTTTTGATCTTCAAGTACGAATATTTAAACTTTCAATATAGAATATACTTAATATCTGTACATATATTTTACGTTGAAAGATCTGTATCTAAAGACCAAAACAGAAAGAAAGAGTGTCCAGGATTAGGTTCTGCATTGGTACTTTTATCTTACTCGTTTATGATTCGCGTCGAAGCGACTGTTAAGATAGCGCGAGTTGGTAGTTCGTAGTTGACAAATTCAGTCGCCGTGCGCGAGCTAATTTGCGGCATGAAATTACATCGCGCCGCGTGACATTTCGCAGTTGGCAGAGAGAAACGTGTTAAACAATGGCAAATTCACAGACTCTTTTCACTTTTATCGCAAATTTTGCGTGGGAGATCGCACGCGCTCGTGTAAAAATCGCCCACGGGCCCCCTGCCACCGAATGATGCAATTCATCGCGTAATATGTTTATTTACTGTGCAGCAATATGCATGCAACAAAATAGAGGACGGAACTCTCCGAAATGCGCGTCCACAATATTCGGGGAAAAATAGTTACGCCATTTGTGCATGGAGGAGCATACAAAACGGCCGCAATAATAAAGTTACGATCAAAAGTGGCAACGAATGTCGTATGTTCAACTTGTCATATAAATCTACGCGCAAGTAGAACGAGCGTCGGACCATCGTTGCTTGTTTGCAGCTCGCAACTCTCCAATGTAGCCAGCTATGTTCGGCGCCGAAATGTCTGGATCTTAACGTTTCGCTATCCATTCTATGGGCCATTGATGTTCGTCCGAATGCGTGTATCGCGCGAAGCCCGAATGTCGCGGATAGAGCATTTTTTTTCTTTTCCATTTTGTTTCATCATCGTCGAATATTCAACAGCACGACGGAATTTTCACTTTCATCGATCCAGATAAATACTGCGCGATTCAAATTTCAGAATTTTCGAACGGAATATATTTATTCCGTTCGATGGAATGTTTCTAATAGTCGGGCAAGGACAATATTTCTGCATGAAAATAAAGCAAAAATGCTTGGACACGTACTGGGCATTTTTGTTGTTTTGATATAAATACTCACGCTTTCATTATAGAATAATGAATACACAATGAGAGAACAAATATTTAAAAAAATATGTAATATTTATTCGGTACTAATAAAACATATTTACTCAACTCTAAATTCTTTCGTTTGAATAGAATAAATTTTCATAATAAGCAATGATTTTAGAAAAATATAAATTTTCTCATTTGAAAATGTCTTCTCAATGGAAAAGTATGTGTATATTAGCACAAGTAAATATGTTATTATAAATATATTGGTGCCCACTAAAAAAATATTTTTTTTATTTGATAGATATTTCTTTCTTTTTCTTTCAGTGCATATATTAAATATACGCGTATATTGTATATTTTAAAAGTTTCAATATTCGTATTTAAAGAGCAAAACAATAGGAATGTCCAGAATTAAATACTGTTCGGCAATTGATGTTTTTACCATAAAAGAAACGAGAAAGGACTAATTAATCCCGATCAAATCAACAAGGGTTTCGATTCTTTACGATTCTTTATAAGAAGTGATTCGTTTCGAGGAGACGTCGCTCTTCCTGATTCAGGCATCACGTTACTGAATTATCGAAGACGAGACGAACGAGATGGGTTCAGCAATGCGCAATAAGCAACATTTGATCCCTTCGCCGTGGTTGTTGTTGGAAACACAACAACTGTGTAACTACCGAGTTTGGACAGATGCGCAGATTGCTTGAGCCGCAGAATGGAGATTAAAGATAATGCGGGGAGATACGAGTAAATTGGTCAACTGAGAGAGACTATCGACGTTTAGCGCCATTTGCGACGGACCATTTGTTCGCGTATTCTTATAAGGCGGTATCTTTTATCAAACGACAGAGAGGACGGCATATGGGCATTCGATGACGATAAACGTTGAAAGGAAGAGCCGTTGGAGAATTTCCCGATAGGTGAAAGAGCATTAATATTACTATATGATACACAGGTTCTCGAAAATATGTAACTTATTAAATATATTAATAACCAAATAAGAAACAACCGCTGATTTTGGAGCAAATATTTCTATTAAATGTTAGGAGGATAACAATATCTGATAGTGCCAACATATCGGATAGGTTTTCCAGTTTTTTAAACGTACGCGGTGAATCAACCTCCCACGTCGAGCCGATCCCTGAATCCCAATTCTAAATATTAATATAATTAACCCCGCTGATTAACCTGATGCCTATTAATATGTTTAATAAGTAGCATTACTATCACTAGATTCGCTGAACATTCCGCGCGACGAAGGCTCAATTTAGCCGAATGCCTGAAAAAAATGCAAGCGTGGCGGCACACTCACGCGTCCTCGAATTACTCGCACCCACGGGGTTGAATGAAGTGCATCCCCGCACCCTTCTCCTTGCGCCTCCTTCCCCCTGTCCGATCTCGAAATGCCTATTCAAATTTTACGGGCCATATTTGTCGCAATTAAGTATAATGTTTTTGGGCTTATGGCCCAGAAATATTCCATATTGAGCACGGGGGTGAAAGCAAGGAAGCTCGCCTCGATATAACACGGAACAGAGATAAATTCGCGAGGGAGGGGCGGAGGTGCGACCCTGAGGGGGTTGCACGGACGAGGTGAAGGGAGAGAGCAGTGAGTTTATAGCGTCGCGGAGGTATAGCAGGCACTTTCACGATTCGTCTGACTCACGCTGAAGATGCGACGGAGAGGGATGCGCACGGATGCGGGATCTCTTTTACGAGATTCTCCCGACGAGAAAGTGAGCAGTGAATACGATTTGCGTACCGGAAGCGGTCACTTCATACTTACCGCTTC